ATTGAGCCTACTACTTGGTAAAAATAGGGATTATGAGAGTTGGCCAAAAGTAGAGTGACCAAAAGAGTAATTATACCTTTTTTCAAAACAAAAGTTGAAAACCATTAAAAATAGATGCTATCTCGTCTGTTTATTTCTCTTTTTCACAAATTTCCTTTATCTCTTCTTTCTCATTATTCATCCATTCATATTTCTCGTCTGGTAGCTAATAAAGATGGTAACTTGATAGTTCATCAGCTCTAGTTGAGATTTCTAAAGATAAGAATCATATCATACTCATCTCAAGCTTCAATTCAAGCTCTAAATCCCTTCATTTCACCATAAAAAACCAATAATGGGTTTAGTGGGGGGTTTTAGAAAACCATAGCAAACCATTATGTTTTTGGGAGATTTCAGCCCATAGGAACGTTTTAGATTCCCCTCTAAGTTTCTCAACAACTTTAGTAACATAAATTCTTGATTCTTACCTAGAAAAAGAAGTTAGAGAAAGCTCCAAGAACAAGATGAAGAAAAAGCTTACCTTGGGTTGAGCTTTGGATAATTCTAGCAATTTAGAAATCAAATGTACCTCACTTCAAACTCAACTTTACCACATGTAGGTCATTTAAATGTGTTCGGCAGGTTACATGAGTTAAGTAGAATTTTCATGGTTGAGATCGAAAATCAGTGTTTCCAACATGTTTATAGACTCTTTATGACTCCTTTTATCATTCATAAGACTTTAAAAATAATTGGGACCCTTAGTAGGGCTTTTTAGAATGGAAAGGTTACATTTTTTGTGCCTAAACAAGGCATTTTAGAGTGAGGGTATCACTACTGGAAGAACAATACCTATACTTCTTAAAACAAAGAGTAAATTCAATAGGAGTATCGATACCCATTCAAGAAGTATTGATATTATAGGGTTGCTCTTGATATCCATGGGGTATTAAAACAGAGAGCACATACTCGATTCCAGTAGACCATTTTGGTGTTGGTACTCATTAGTGTATCGATACCCAGGGTAGAGTATCGATACTCCCCATAGGAGTATCGATACAAAGCTTTTTTCCAAACATATAACCAAATTTTGGTATAGATACCTAGACCCAGTATCGAAGCCAAAACACTGGAGTATCGATACAACCCATACCAAATCAGCCCGAATTAGTCAATCGATATCTATAGCTAAAGGTGAGTAATACCCAAGGTTCAATATCAATAGTGGAGGGTCAGTATCGGTACTAGTGTGCAGTATTAGATAAATAATCCAATGTTTTCAAGATCGAACTCGAGGGTGAAATAACACTACAAGTGAGAACACTAATTAACTCAGAAAAGTTAGAAATAACAACAGCTAGGGTGAAATACAACAAGGTGCAGACGCCCCAAAACTCGATGGAGTGAGTTGGTCGGGTGTACGTTTCCGATGAAAATTTCAGATCTCACCCAGAGTACCTTTGGGTATTTAAGCAGGCTAGAAGGGTGTGTGAGCTCCAAGATACAAAACCCTCAGCTGCACCATGATGCCCGCTAAAGCATAGTAGACTACTACTTTTTATGCCCCTATACTTGTGCCACTAGCTAGCATATTTAGTGAATGCATGTAGTATAGTACTATTTTTAGTGAGGCAATGAGCTCATAAGCTCAACGTTCGGAATATGTTTTTATGCTCAGGTCAGGAGATCATGCGTGGGGAGTTATCTTCACCAGGCATTCCAGTATAACAGACCAGAGCATCCAAGTATTTTAGAATATGTCTTGAGTTACTTTTAGAGGGCATGTACTATTATAAACCCTTGTATATCGGTCATAACTATTGATTTAAACTCATCGTTATATATTTTGAATATTTTAGGAGCTCCCTCATATTTGTAAATCTTAAATACTATAGTTTTATTATTTAGTATGGATGGATTTTTATCAAATGTTTTATACTCAGTTATGTTTAAATAAAAATTTTGGGTTAGCCACTATAGTGGTCCTGTATGACATCGTGATCCAGTGATCTTGAGGTCGGTCTGGATTAGGGTGTTACAAGTATAGCATGATCTTAATCAAAATTGATACCGACTTTAGCAAAGAAATGGCTAAGAAGACAACCATACACTAAGGTATCAAATTTCTTATACTGAAAGTTGTTTATGGTGTCAACGAGCTCACCAAATACAACTTGGGAGAAATTGATTTTTTTTTTCTAGTTTTGAAAGTAATAAATCCACCAATTGCTTAAAGCCAAAACCTTAAGAACAAAACATTTCCTTTAACCACTTAGGCTATTCAAGAACTTTAGTATGTTTGTACACTTGTGTGTATATATGTTTTCTTTTTGTTATGTTACATGTTTTAATTATTTTTAATTTTTTTTATAAATACCTCGAACTGTTTTATATTTTGCATAATTATTATAATGATTTGATAATAACTTCAAGGTCATTTATATAAAAATATTATATCAAAAACTCATGAAGTTTAGACCGGGTGCATTATCTGTTCCTGTCCCCCAGTAGAAGAGACCTCAAATCATGAAGTTCCTTGGTACTGGTTCACTGAACATGTTCCTAAACATAGCATTGTGGTTTGGATGGTTATCTTGGGAGATTGCTTACTAAGGATAAGCTTTTGAGATGAGGAATCCCCATGAAGAATGATAAATGTGTTATTTGCAATAGTGTAGTGGAAACCAGAGATTACCTTTTCTTTGAATGTTTATTTGCTGTCTGTCTATGGGAGGGTATTTTAAGACTATATGCCCTGAGTCGAGTAGCTAAGCTTTGGGAGGAAGAGTTGACATGGATTGTGCAGTTCCTTAAGGGCAAATCCCTTTTTTCTGCTATCCTCAAAATTGCATAGGGTTCTTATATTTATTTTTTGTGGGAGGAAAAGAATCATAGAATCTTTAGAGGTCACTCTCGCACAGTTGATGAGTTGTTACAAGCTGTCAAGTTTGTAATGCAAGTTCGATTAAAAGACAAAAGCATTAATAAGGTGGATACGATGAATGCTAAGCTTTGTAACAGTTGGGGCATTTTGTAGCAACCTTGGATGTTTGTAGTTGGTTTGGGTTTTCTTGATTGCTTTTGTTGTTTGTAGAAATTGATTGTTTTCCTTGGGTAATACATGAAATTTATCCAAAAAAATTAGATTATTAAATAAATCATATTATTAGAAATTTTTAATGAAAGTATTTAATATCGTTAATTAATTTTTTATTGTATAACAAAGTAATTAACCCATCTTTAAATTATTTTTTTACATTTTCTTTTGAACACTTACTTTCACATTTGAATATAATCTTAATTGTTCTTATACATACATACATATATATATATAGATATATATATATAATCTGACAACTTTCGAACTTGTCATATTGGACTAGTTGAAACTACTAGCAAAATTGTCAACATCCTGCCATCTAAGGTCTCCAGATATCCCTCTTAGCCTATCGGGGTATCCAACAAGCCCATATTTTTTGGATATAAATTTTCTAACCATTTACATTAATAAGACTTCTGATAGGTCCACGTGACTTATCATAACATAATTGAGGTCTCACAATCAAATTCATCTAGCTCGTTAGTCTACAAATAGTTATATTGACTGTATAATTAACATACACACTAAATTTCACTATAAATGTCCAAACCGAGACTGAAAAATGTTGGAACCTTCACAACCCCTAATTCGTCTTCTTCATCCTGCACGACCATCTTCTCTACAAATATATTGGCCAACAGTCATTCTTCATCAATCGCGACTTTCCATCTAATTTTAAAGGATGAATCACAAGCATTTAATGAGATAAATTTATCCGTCAACAATTGATGGAATATAAACTGCTTTTAGTCTTCAGATATCAATAAAGAATGGATCCCAAAATCACGACGAGCAAAGTTAAAACAATCAAGCCAACCTTTCTTCTTGCCCCTCCCCAAAATCCTTCAGATCAATTGTTCCCTGAACCTGTTATAACGAAGAACTACATCGAAACATCAAGGATACAATAGACTGAAGTCTTTCGGGCCTTTTGTGGCACTTTGGATCACTCTTACAGACATTTTCTCCAGTCAGAATGCCACCAAACTCCGAATTCTATTGAACAAAACCTGCTATTTAGATTTGACCTGTGGATGAGATTGGATCTATGCTCGCAAGTTCCTGTACTACAATACTTCTTAATCTCCATTTTATGTAGTTTTACGGTCATCTCTCTCCAAAGATATAGCATGTAGAAACGAAGAAGAGAAGACAAAGGAAATAAAGTGGTTATTCTAAAAATGAAATCCTTTAAATTATGATAAATTAAATCTTGCATACATGTCATACATAGCTGCACTTGAGTTTCTAGATTCTCCTCATAACTTGTAATGCTAACCTGTAAATTTTCTATTAAATACTTTAGAAATAATGTGGAAGCTTTTGGGGGGAGATATTTTATGAACTTCATTTGGAAGAAAGGGATTGTGGTGAAGCAGTGGTGAAGCAAGTTATTTTATTTTTGCTTTTATGACGAAGCGCCTGAACATGGGATAAATAGTAGTAAACTGAACATAGTAATTGTTCAAAGTTTTCTTAATCAATTGACAATGTACGCATATCTTGCAAATTCAATTGATAACGTACACATATCTTACAAAGTGACTGCTGAACCCAAGACTTTTAGAGAAAATAACACTCCTTTTTATTATTTACTAAGACCACTCGATGGCTTATACTAGATTACTCTTCTAACTTTACTTTCTCATGAATAATACAGTAGATTTAACCAATTAAAGTTTCATGGCTAACGAGCTTTGGTTTGTACTTGTTAATAATACAAAAAAAAAAAAAAACAAGAAAAGAGAACTTGGTTTCAGATTTCTGTAAGAAGTGGTTAAGGACGAGAAAAAAATAACAAACTACTATAATGGCGCATGGTTCCCCCTTTCTTTCACAAACATCTCATTCTCATACATACAAATGCACAATCAAAGATCATTTCATCTAACATGAAACTTAAGGCCAGTGGTATTGGGAAAGAAAGGAGAAAAGGAAGCATATACTATACTTTTTTTATCCTCAAGTCATGAAAGAAACATTAGAAGACAAGCAAGAATGCACAAAATCCTAATCATTACCTACAAAATATTGGGAAGCTGTGAATTCAATCTCTCTTGCAACTCCTTGATTTTCATGGAAAGCTCCATCTTCTGCTCCTTGTAGCTCCGCAAAAAGTACTCCTTTCCTTCTATCACCTCCTTTAACTCTCCTACCTCTCTTTTCAGCATCTCGATTCTCTCCCCATCTTCCCTTCCCTTCTCAGGGGAGCCCGAGTTGTCTCCATTGACATAGCCATTGGTATGGCTATTTCTTAACTCATACATCCAAGTTGTAAAGGCTGAAGTCTTCTCGTTCGTGCTAGCATGTCGTAAACAATGGTCCGCAATCGCCTTCCTCAGCCTTTGAATTTCCATCTCGGAGTCAAATAATTCTCTGTTTGCTGCATCAAGCTGCGATTGTAAATGAGTTGAGTTTGCTACCTGAGCGTTCAGTGAATTTTGCAGCTCCATGATCTGATCCTGCATCTCCAGTATCATATCATCTCTTCTCTTCAGCTGTTGCCTCAGTTTCTGTATCACTTCCCTCTTGCTAAATATGTCAGAGCCAGACTCTGAGACACACGGGGAGTCAGAGCAGTTGGAATGATGGAATGGTTTTGGAGGCAACTCAAGGCGATCAGGAGATGAAGCCCACATAGCACCGTTATCCTTGTTGAAATCAGCAGTAGGAACTGTCACCAGAGGTAAAGCAATTTCAGATTTGGGCATCATCTGACCGTTGGATGGGTGCTTCTCCCCTATGCTTCGGGATCCTGTTTTGAAACCAAACTTAAATAAGAAACCAATTTACACAAGAAATAATTATAATAAATAATAAAAAAATACACACACACCTTGACTTTCACTACAAAAAAAAGTCAAAGTGCTAGAGAACATATCATTCTACGATTAGTCACATTATTAACGGCAGGAACTAGAGCGCTTCAAGGAACTTCAAAAGGACCTCCCAACATGCAAAGGGAAATACATTGATCTAACTCATCGCTTATCATAAACTAACAGTGTCAGTCACACATCGACACCTCAAGGCTCAAAGTGAGTATGATTAAAGAGTTCTAAAAAACTGAAACTGCCAAGTAGTAATACTGGAATGCCAGAATTTCAAAATGAGTATGACTAACAAAAGGCTGTGTCCTAAAGAAGAACTAGACTGTTTCTTCTCTTCAAAGCCAATATGCGACTATTTACACTTAAAAAGGAGGTTTTGGTTGAGAAATCAAACTAGACAATTCAAAAGAACTATATTTCTTCACTTTTATCAACCCACTCAAAGACCCGAACTGAAGCAAGTGCTTATATATAGAAGCCTTGGACAGCTGAAATTATAAGATGGCTGCAACACACCTGACATGCAGTTGAAATAAGCATCATCGACCTGGCTAAATAAATACATATTTGAATGTAAACAGCAACCTGATGATATCCTGTCAGAAGTTCCATTCCCTGTAACAAACTCAAAATTTAGAAGCAGTTATGTATCCAGTACAAATTATTGAAGCAATAGATAGCCATATACCTTTCAAGCTAGTCTTAGCATTGTACTGTTGCTTTGTGTCAAGTGCCCGCTTCAGCTTGTAACCAAGGCGGATGGATAAGGTACTCAACAAGGCACCACCAGCAATGAGAACCCAGTTTGGTCCCTCACCCTGAATTTGTTTTGAATTCTGAATCTTAGATACTCGTCCACCCCTTGCATTCATTTTACGAGAAAGTAAAACGGGAAAGCTCCGAATCATCCAAATATGACCTACAGTCAATGTATAGCAGTATGCCATTACCATCCATGTAGAACAAAAGTTAGGTCAAATAGCATCAAGAGATTAGAAAGTTCTACATTGCAAGAAACAAGGTCTCATAACTTGAAAAAAATACATTGATGTCAAATAACTAAATTTTAGATTTTCTGATAGCAATTAAATGCTTAAAAAAAATCAATATCTACCCTCCCAACATCCCACAGACTCTCTAAACATTATAGATTTTCTGATAGAATTGCTGCATAGCCAGAAGGTATTTCTGGCTCTTGAAAGATCAACTTTTTTTTTCACAGGAAATCAAGTCATTGTCATAAAACACGTACAATGATAAACCTGAAAACCTTTTTAGCAACATAGCCACAACATTCTCCCTATTCTATTCTTTATGGATCATATTGAATAACAAGAAATAAACAATTAAGCTGTTGATGCATAACAGAAGATGTTAACCTCTAAGCAAAATTATCGTCCCTGGTAAAAGAATGTTGAAAATGATATAACATCACAAACATGCATGTCTCTCTACCAATTTACTTCATGTCCTTATTCAGAATTCCTTCTTGCGTTCTAAAGAAGCTATATGCTATTATGGCATGATTCCTTCAGGGGGGCGGGGTCGTCTGACAGGAAAGCTGTCCATTGGGTAAAGTAGGATTTGGTATGCAGACCAAAGGATATGAGAGGCCGGGGAATAGCTAATTTGGATATGATGAATAGAGCTCTTTTGGGGAAGTGGATAAGGAAGTTTGTTTCAGAGAAAGAATCACTGTGGAAAAGGGTCATATGCCTTGTCAATAATCTTGATTTCAACTCCTTTAATGTCGACAAATTGATTTCCACGAGAGCTTCTTGGATATGGAAAGGGACAGTGAAGAGCTGCTACGCTTGTGATGATTTTGGTGCTTGTTTTAAGGGTAATACTCACATCAAGGTTGGCAATGGGGAATCTATTTTGTTTTGGCATGATGTGTGGTTAGATGGTGTGCCTTTGAAAGATCAATTTACAAGATTGTTTATCCTCTCGACCAACAAAGAAGGGAGAATTGCTTATTTTAGGTTAAGGAACTCGTCGGGGTGGTGCTAGGATATTTAGATGAAGAGGAATTTGGCAGATTGGGAGATGGAGCAGTTGATTCATTTGTATTCGGTGTTAGGCAATTTTCAATCTTCAGAGCAAACTGATGATAGTTATGTTTGGATTGGACAGGGCGATGGTTGTTTCTCGGTGAAATCGTGCATTATGTTTGATAGGTCTGAAGTTAACTCCTTCTGGTCAAAATTTGTGTGGCTAGGGGTGGCACATCCTCGAGTGGAGTCCTTCGTGTGGCAGGTGGCTTATAAAAAGGTGGTTGTTAAAGTCGAGTTAGTTAAGCGTGGGGTTAGGGGGATCGAGGATCAAATGTGACCTTTTTGTGGAGGTTTTTCAGAATCTGTTACTCACTTGTTTGTTTCCTGCACTATTTCTTGGGGTCTTTGGACGGGGTTTTTGAGTACTTGGAACATCTCTTTCGCTGTTCCAGAGAGCCCAGTTGCGTTACTCTCGGCTTGGTATGGGTTAATCCCGTTTTCAGTCATATGGACCTTTATTCCTTGAGCAATTTTGTGGTCGGTTTGGAAGCAAAGAAATGAAATCGTTTTCAATAAAGGGAAACTTGATCGTGTTCAACTCTTTTTCTTGGTGAGATACAGAGTTGCAACTTGGTTTTCGACAAAGTTTCAAAATCATTCGATTCCTTTTGATAGTCTAGTGGGAGATCTTACGTTAGCGGATTCCTTTCAAGGGTCAAGGAAGCTTAATTTGGTTCGTGAAGGATGGTGTTCCCCTCCGTCAGGCTTTCTTAAGGTAAATGTGGATGGGGCTATGGATAGTTCTTGGCAGAAGGGCGGAATAGGTGGGTTACTTCGGGATGAGAAAGGTATCATGCTGGATTCGTTTTCAGAGAAAGTTGGCTCGGACCCTCCAATTTTGGTTGAATTGATGGCGATCAAGAGGGGTCTACAGCTATTTTTGGACTCGGAGTGGGCTTCTAGGGGAAGGCTAATTTTAGAATCTAATTGTCTAGTGGCTCTTGAATGGATTAAAAATCCAGCTTCTTGTACTCCTTTGTTTAAAGTTGTGGTGAATGATATTGCTAATGTAGTGTTAAATAGGGGTGTGGTCATTAGGCATATTTGCAGAGGTGCCAATCATAAGGCAGATGAGTTTGCCAAGTTGGGTATTGGATAGGATTGTCGAAGGGGTAATATGTAGGTTTTGGTTGGTAGTTTGTATTGGGTTTTGTTGTTTGGTGGTTGGAGTATGATTGTAATTGGTCTATGTACTGATGTTGTATCTGTTTTTTTAGCAATAAAATTATTGGAACTCTTTTCCTCCATCTAATGTCCGCTGATCTATCTTTGTAGATCGGCGGTTATGATGGGGATTTTAACGAGGCCATCTTTCTATCAAAAAAAAAATGCTTAAAGTGCAATTGTTCCCCCTGCTGTAGGCAGTCAAGTAGTTTATGATCACCAAATAACATCTTAAACTGTTGAACCAGGGGTCGGACACGAGTGAAGCAATGCCCTAGAAAAAGTACACATCAGCAAAAACTCAGTAACCTCGTCAGTTATAAAATCATGTTCGAGTGGTACGGTTCTGGATTTGATTATTAGGTTCAGTGAAAATTGTATGAGGTCAATGATAAGAAGTCATCAGCAATGTGCACTTAATTTCAAATAATCCTAAACTAAAATCAAAGAAAATATAATTGTTCAACCAAATCATCTATTACGCGCGTATAAGGGTGTGTTTCATCAAATAAGATGGGAATAAGTCCAAGATAAATCGAAAGGTAATGCATAAAATCCCCAGCTAGCCAATGCAATGAAAATACAAATTTCTTAATGTAATGATAAATACAAATTTAAAGTTCTAACACCAAAAACAGCAAAAAAATATTAGCTATTCAATTAAGTAAATGAAAACAAAAGAGCTCACGTTTCTCCGAGCACCAACAAGCATTGATACCCAAAAAGAGAAAGGCCTTAAAAATTCCAAAACCATTTAAACAAAGAAAACCCAAAAATTCCCGACTCCAAACTCGTGAGTTAATTTTAACCTTTTTTTCATTCTTCTTCTTTACGTTGCCAATTCAAAGAAAAACTTCGAAACGGAACAAATAGAAACTTAGATTACCTAAAACTGAAAACCATAACTTCATCCCAATAATCTTAATCAATGAGTAAATAAATAAAGCAAAAGAAGAAAAGAGCGTCAAAAGTAAACCTCATTCAAGAACAAAAAAAATTAGGGTTTGTCTTGAAACTTCGTCAGCTGCATCATTTTCGTCAAATCGCTTCACGAACTTTGTCACTATTCACTCCATCCCTCTTTCTCTCTCTCTAGAATGACGAGTATACACATGGCCAGTTTTGGCTAATTAAAGATTTTTTTCCAAAAAATAAAAGCATGTATTATTATTATTCCCTAGTCAACTAAGAAATAATTGTAAAATTTTTCTAAGATAATAAAATTAAAAAAATGTAAAATCTAGAGATTTTACCATGTCATTAAGACACGTGTCGGCTATCGCCTTCAATTTCCCGTTAGTTTGTGTATAAGTTGTTAGTTTTGACCAGGGATTATTCTCTTTTACTTATTTTTTTTATTTAAACCATTTAATTTTTCTGAAATTTTGTTATTTGTGTATTTAAGATCCGATTCCAAGGAATTGTTTATGATCCTTGAGGTGTAGGTATGAGTAGGCTTATAAATGAATCGAACACACACGAACAAATGTATGTTCATGTTTGTTCATTTAATAAATAAACGAACATAAACGAACACGAACATAAATAAACAAAAAAATTTTTGTTCATATTCGTTCAATAAGGAATATAGTTTGTTAATGTTCGTTCATTTAAATAATAAACGAACATAAACTGTAACATCTCCAACTCGGATCCGAATCTGAGGTGTCACATTGACTTTTCAAAACATTTACTTGTATAAAATAATGAGTAATTTAAAATTTTATAACATATAACTTATTCAAAATATTTACAGAACTATTCAGAGCTTATACAATATATTATTTTGAATACATGCCAATTAGAACTTTATTTATTAACATCCATATTATTCACCTTTCTTCTGATCTGACCTTCGGTAATGAGAACTGACATGTCTTACTCCATATTGCTCTTTACTCTTCCCACTTCTACAACCTACGTGTGAAACAATTACACGCTAAGTCTATGACTTAGTGAGGCATTACATTTATAAAAGAACTCTAATTATTTAAACATGCAGGAACACATCATCTCATGATGTCATACCAAAACAATTTAACATTACATACAATGTAATATACATATATACATATCTCACACTATTTCCATTACTAACCTTATTCCACTATCCATATTCTTATCATTTATGTCTCATAATCATATACTCATATATTCATTCTTTTAAGCCACATATGATTCAATTAATCAAGCAATATACACATCATCTCATATATCATATAATACAATTCATATCACAAAAGCATATACTTTACATGTAATATATATATATTTATTGTTATCTCTTTTGTTAGCCCATGTACATCTGTGAGAACTGTAGATATGTGAGTCTATTGAGGTTGTGCACTATGATGTCACCACAGCTCGTATGGGGTCCCACTAGGGGCTATGAAATTTGTCCCGAATGACCACTATAAAATGTCCCGGAGGACCACTATGTCCCGAAGGACTGCGTAGACCCTCGACTCTTGGCATGCCAACTATATCTCTAGATCTCATAACACATAACATGGGCATTATCTTTATATCGTTTCACATCTTCATGTAATCATATGATTCACTTTCACTTATCACATATACTTTCTCTTTCATATATCTCATGTCATATATCACATAGCTCATTATCACATTTCATAAGATCACACTTAGTCACATAGTTTATTTCCATATAATTCACATGTACATATAATAACTTATCTCATATCATATAACTTATAGTTTATACTTTTATATTCACATAAATTATGTAACATATTATAACCTATAAACATATCTCACTTATGCATGTATTCATGTACACATTTTCATATAGTCTATATATATATATTTATATATCATAAGTCCATGTTTTATATAATTACTTATCTCCCATCATTTATTTACTAATTTCATATATTTACCTAATTCAGTTTCACATAGCTTATAACATATACAAGTCTTCTAATAAATTATCATCAAAAGCTCCTATAATATCTCTCTATGGCTTCATAGATTTTTACTATATATCTTATTTATTATAAATTCATTTAAGCCTATAAATCTTTCCCATATAATTTATCTTACATGTTTATATAGTCACTTCCTTTTTGTTATCACATGAGTCATTGGTATTTTACATAGTTCGTGATCCTATAATTTATATCTCAAGCTCATATAACTCATATAACATTTTCCTATAATACATAAATCATTGCCATATAACACATATCATATAAATTCATACCACATAACATGTAATACGAACTAAACATATTCACGTAATATCAAACATAATCATACTTCTAATCGTACAATCATATATTCAATATATTGGAAACAGACTTGTCGTAAGTCTAATTTCCATATACAATACGTATATTCTAATAATACGCACTCACCTTGGCCTCACTAAGTTCCAATCCTCTTTTATGATTTCCTTTCTTTCGGTCGAATCTTAACTTGATAGTCGTCCTGGAACTTGTTCGTGCTCGATATCTACATAATCATGTACTGATACTTATCATTATCCAATTGATATACTTTAATCTATCATTTCTTAGAATGAAAGAAAGATTTATTCCATTTCCCATTGAAGTGCATCAGTACATTCTATAGTGTATCGATGCATCCTTAACATGTGCATCGATGCACTACCCCATGCATCGATGCACAATTTACATTCGATGTTTTCATTTTAAGGGGTGTATCGATGCACTCCCTAAGCATCAATGCACTCACTACATTCGATGTTTGTTTAATTGAGAGTGCATCGGTACACAATGAATGTGCATCGATGCACACAACCCAGAAATTCCAGTTAGAGCACGAAATTCACTTTCTTTTTAGCTCAACTCTTCATATTTCATCCTCTTTTATATTCTTAACTCACATACAAATATTCAAACTCATTTCTATTCATTCATCACCTCTTTAACATCAAAGTCCTATTCTCCATATGTAATTCAAGAATTACAATAAATTTTCAACATGTTCCAAATTCAATTCTATTGTTTCTAACTTCTTAATTAGACCCTTGACAAGTCAAATTTGGTCTGGAAATCCCATAAATGTCTTTATACCAAGATTCCATTTATTCACTTCCTTCCTTTAATCCTTTCTATATCTTTCTTTTTATTGTTTTATGAAAAATTAAGCTTTCCTTAAGCTTAAGAGTCACTTGATAATCGAAATCAAACTTAAAATTCAATAAGAAATCAATTAACCAGAACTCACCTTTGTTCTTGGCTTCCACGTGAAGAAGAAGAAAAAGAGAAGCAGAGAACTCTGGAGAAATCTCTCCCTTTCCACGTGGTTCCTTTATCTTATAAAGGAAAATAAAAAATCTTACTTGTCAATTGACCATTTTACCCTTTAATTCATTCAATAATTACTAAACAACCTTCAACTATATTTCCAATAAGTCATTAAACTATTTAACTATTCTACTTTTATCACCAAGTTTCAAAAATTCTCATTTTAGTCAATGACCCGGATTTCAGGATGTTACAAATCTCTCATCCTTTAAAGAAAAGTCGTCCTCGAATTTTCATTAAACATATCAATAAGAAAATATTTTCTAATGTTCTCATGTTGCCTCCTTTACTTAACGTTTCCTTCCTTTATTTTTTTCAACTACTTTTTTTTTACATTCAGTTACTATCACTTATCATTTAAACAACAACCAATAACTTCAATCCATTTCTGTCTTTTCTCTCATTCTATTCTGAATTTTCCTTTGACCATTTCTAAAATTTCATATAATGTCACTGATCACGTAGACAGTAACATCACTTAACCTCATAAATCCATCTTTAATTACCTTATAATAGTAACCAAACTCATTTTCCATCATCATTTGACCAAGAACACAACTTTAAATCTTCTTCAATTATGATTAAACATACACTTTAAAGAATCTTTTCACATCACCTTGCACACTTTTCGTACTTCTATATCGAACTTATCATCTACACTTCCATATAACTTTCATCATATCTGGTCCCTTAAACTCAATCCTTTTCATTTCTTTATTCCATTATTCCTTTATTCATTCCAAATTGAAATCTCCTTATACATAAATCATATATTTCCTTTTATATTCATATATTCGTATCTTATCACCTATACTCATCTCTATGTACCAATCATCATTGCATCTTCGTAGCTTTGATAACCCAATTTACTTATACAAAACTTCATTCTTTACCATCTCTTATACTTGTATTTCCTTCTTTAAAGCCTTCTTTTTAAAACATACCAATACTTATCTCCTTGCCTACATCATATCTATATAATCAAAATACATAACTACATCCAGATTCATATCATACTTGATTAACTCCACTTTATCTTTTCTTCCAATCTTATAACTTTATCATATTTACTCTTACAGCTAGTCAATAACAACTGTTCAATCTAGGGCACAAGCCCTAATCAATTAATCATATACACACTTTCCACTCAGAATTATCTTAACCATAGTTTACTTAACTTATCAAATTCATATTCATTCTCATACACCATGTGATTTCCGTTGTTCAAACTTAACATTCTGACTTTATTTGTCTTATAAACTGATCACTGATGTATTCATTCTTAAACTCTTCTTATAAATCTTTAGCTTTACTCAAATATACAAATCCTCACTTCCTTCACTATATCACATTACTAAGATCCAAATATACAACTGTATCCAGATCCACTTTATATTTGGTTATTTTAACCTGTCAATATCTTAAAATCTTTCAACTCCAATACACCTTTCATCACATAATTTGGTTAGCCAACGCCAACTCGTTCCATCTAAAATGCAACCTCTTATCATATCCATACTTTTGCTTATACACATCACTATTCCTTTGTCTCAACTCATAAACTCTGGCTTTCTATATCTTATATGCTTGTCATTGATGCACTTATTCTTGAACTCTTCTACAAATTCTAACCACATCTTAAGATCTTTTAACTTTCTTATGGTGATACTTGTTCACCATATTCTATCTTATCCATTAAATAATAAGAATACTTCACCTCATTTTTCCAATTCAAAACTGTGAAAACCTGCTATCACTAATTTAATATGATTTCAAATTCTGAAATCAATCTTTGATCTTACAAGGCATTTCCTGATGTGTTCACTCTTCATCCTGCCTG